GAGACTATGTTAACTTTCAACTGCTTTCAGGGAGCTCCAAATGAGTCTATCACACTTAACTGTAGCAAGGTTGTATTTTAAAAGTTGTTTGGTCTCCTGAACAACCAGGTTTAAACACTGAGTTAGTAGTTAGAAGATGTGGCACGTACCAAAGTTAGTGATAGGTAGGTTGTCCAACCAGAACAGGGTGAATAACTGTTATTTTGTGTACAGAATTTTAGCATATAAATTTTAACTCCATGGAGAGCCTTTGAGCTGCTCCCCTCATGCATAGGACTAAACTACTTACATCTCGGACTTGGACTGTTGACTCTGTTATTTTACACACTGTCCACTTAGCCTTTCAACTTGACATTGTCGCAAAACCCACAGGGGCAGAACTTCCTCTCCAGAGAGTCTGAATAATTGACAAAGTGAAATCCACTGTGAAAACCTGTTGCTTCAAACCATGCCAAGATCCCAGCACACTCTGCCCCCGATTTTGTAACAAACCTTTCCAAAACCGTTCGTACTTAAAGAGAAAGTTGAACACCCAGCGATCGACTGAGGAATCTGCTTCATACGTTGTCACATTTTTAGACAGAACAAAACTTGACCACAATCAAAAAGTTAAACTATATCACCACTACGGCCGTAACACAAATAACATGTACAGACTTACATGAAAACACTAGTTTTCTTACTCCCTCATGAGAGTTCCCATCAACTTTAATTGAACATCGAAGGCTCATTTACTTCCTGGGACCAAGTCAAAGGCATGCCACAGCTCTCCAGAATTCAACTGAATTCTTCTCGGTATCCATCATGTTTTTAAGGAGATCATCCCATTAGCTTTGGCTAAATGACCCTCACATTTCCTTTGTGACGTCAAAATTTTAGGCTCATCAGTTCAAGCATAGGGCCTCACCCGTTTCTTTTTAAGCTCAGGTGTCTCCTTCATTATTTCACTATCCTCAATATGAACTCTGACTCTGCGTAAGGTTCCCTTTTAAAGGTAATTATTCAGATTCGTTCCAACTGCATTTACTTGGAGTTTGGTTTCCAATGTATCAAACAAGTATCGTCTGGCTATCTATATTTACAAGAATTCTAAAGCCAAACTAGATATTATTGTATTAAAATCTACAAATTATGACTCTTCACACATTACAGCAGGATGATGGTGGGATGAATGCACCCTGTGTCTCCTCTGTGCGTTTAGTTAACAATTAAATCCCCTGTAGCATTCCCCAACATGACAAAAGGAATTTAATGCCTAGAAGTATCACATGGGATGCCTAGCACAGCTGCCTCACAGTGCCAGGTTCGATTCCACCCTTGGGCGACTTTCCGCGTGGAGTTTGCACGTTCACCTCGAGTCTGCATAGAATTTCCTCCAAGTGCTCTGCAGTCCAAAGATGTGGGTGAGGTGGATTGGCCATGCTGAATTGCCCCGTAACATTCATGGCGAGGTGGGTGAGCCATGGGAAATGCAGGGTTAAAGGGATAGGGCAGGCGGGGGCTGGGGCTGGACGAGATGGTGAGTTGGTGGGGGCTCGATGGGCCGAATGGCCTGCTTCCACATTGTAGGGATTCTAAGTGCGAGGTGATGTGACAGGGAGAGGCAGTGAAAACACTTAATAAGACAGTTCTTAAGACGGAGCAAGTTCGCAGGGAGCATGACAAGACGGGTGGGTGTTCATGTGCAAAGATTGGTTGAAGGTGGCAGGACCTAAAGAGAGAAATTAACCTTGGAGTATAGGAGGTCGAAGGAGGGGGAAAGAATTGATGGTTAAGGTTTTGAGCAGGAGAGACAGAGGGAGATTTGAGGAAGAACGTTTTTATCCAGCAAGTGGCAGTAAACTGGAACTCACTGTCGATAATGGTGTGGAAACAGAGATGAATTTAATGGAAATTTGGGTGGGCACTCGCATGGCAACAATAATAGCAACTCAGAGATAGTAAGAACCGCAGACGCTGGAGTCACAGACAACACAGTGTGTGAGCTGGATGAACACAGCAGGCCAGGCAGCATCAGAGGAGCAGGAAGGCTGACGTTTCGGGTCGGGACCCTTCTTCAGTAAATAATAGCAACTGAATGGTTGGATCTAGAGAGAGAGCCTTCCTTCCTCAGAAGTGTCACGGACCCGAAACGTTAACTCTGATTTTTTTTCTCCACTGATGCTGCCAGACCTGCTGAGCTTTTCCAGCAACTTCTGTTTTTGTTCCTGATTTACAACATCTTTTGGTTTTCCCTTGGCTATTCACCCTATCCATGCCACTCATGATTTTATAAACCTGTATAAGGTCACCCCTCAGCCTCTGATGCTCCAGGGAAAATAGCCCCAGCCTATTCAGTCTCTCCCTATAGCTCAAACACTCCAAACCCGGTGACACCCTCGTAAACCTTTTCTGCATCCTTTCAAGCTTAACAACATCTTTCATAGAGCAGGGAGATCAGAAATGAAAAGATTGAAGGGTGGGTTTATGATAAACTATAAAGGTGCTAAAGGGGATCAAAGGAGTACCCAGCGAGACTATGGGATTCACAGCGAGTGGTTAAGGTGAACAGTGTTTAAGGAAAAGCTGGACACGGTCATGAACGAGAAAGGAATTGAAAGGAATGTTGATGGGAGGAAGATGACAAGGAGTGAGTGGTGGAGTGAGATTGGAGTCTCGTGTGGAACATAAATACTGAATCAGACCAACTGAACCAGCTGGCCTGGCCCTGTGCTTTAGGTCTAAAATATGGAAAGATCCATCTGTAATGGTAGTACAAACACTATTTACCATCCAGGATTAAATAAATGCACTTCCTCAGCTTCTGAGGATCATTTCAGTGGAAATATGCAGTCCCAGGGCTCAAAAGGCATTAGTCCCACTGGAACAAAGTGGGCGAGAGCGGCCAGTCCAGCAGGTGAAGAGAAAAAAAAACACATACAAAACCCTCCCAACCCCTTCCACTTCACCAACTGCCAGAACAAACGCGGTTCAGTCTTAGATGTGATTCAGAGCGGCAGAATAGCTGAACCCGTCCCCACTGATCACTTGTGTCCCCGCTGGTGTCTCAGCAGATGTTGTGACTGAGCGAAGCCCTTCCCGCACACAGAGCAGGTGAATGGCCTCTCCCCGGTGTGAACCCGGTGGTGCGTCCGCAGGTTGGTCAATCGAGTAAAGCCTTTCCCGCACACCGAGCAGATGAACGACCTCTCCCCGGTGTGAAGTCGCTGGTGTGACAGCAGGTTGGATGAGTCACTGAACCCTTTCCCGCACTCGGAGCAGGTGAACGGCCTCTCCCCGGTGTGGACCCGCTGGTGTATCTGAAGGCCAGACGAATGAGGGAATCCCTTCCCGCACACGAGACAAGTGAATGCCCCTTCCCCGGTGTGAACCTGCTGGTGTCTCAGCAGGGTGGACGAGTGAGGGAACCCCTTCCCGCACACGGAGCAGGTGAACGGCCTCTCCCCCGTGTGGACCCGCTGGTGGGTCAGCAGGTTGGACGACTGCGTGAAACTCTTCCCGCACACCGAGCAGGTGAACGGCCTCTCCCCGGTGTGGACCCGCTGGTGCGAGAACAGGTTGGATGACTGGGTGAACCCTTTCCCGCATGTGGAGCAGGTGAATGGCCTCTCCCCGGTGTGAACTCGCTGGTGTTTCAGCAGGCTGGACGAGTCACTGAAGGCCTTCCCACACTCCGAGCAGCTGAATGGCCTCTCGCCGTTGTGGAGCCGCTGGTGCGACAGCAGGTGGGATGACTGAGCGAATTCTTTCCCGCACTCGGAGCAGGTGAACGGCCTCTCCCCGGTGTGAAATCGCTGGTGCGTCAGCAGGATGGATAACCGAGTGAATCCTTTCCCACAAACCGAGCAGCTGAATGGCCTCTCCCCAGTGTGAATGCGACGATGAATCTCCAACACAGACGGGGAGCGGAATCCTTTCCCGCAATCCCCACATTTCCACGGTTTCTCCATGGTGCCTGTTTCCTTGTGTTATCCCCTAAGATTTTTTTTTCCCCTACTGTTAGTGCACTGGAACACCCTCGCTCAGGTGAGAATCTCTAGTCTTTTCTGGTGATAATAATACTTAAAACCTTTTGAAGCAGCCAAAACCGACTAAGAATTTTCCTTATGGATTCAAGGAGTGATGTTACTCCTATCCCATGAATCAAGGGACTCTTGTCAGGCCTTCATGTGATATTTTGGCTTGCGATTTCAGGCAGCAATGCCTCTCCTTCCAATATCCTGTGAAAAAGAGATTACAAAAGTCATTGCTGCCAGTACAGGACAGAAATTCAGAACAAATCATTATGGTTAGAGGTAGCAAGAACTGCAGATGCTGGAGTCAGAGTTCACACAGCATGGAGCTGGAAGAACACAGCAGGCCAGGCAGCATCAAGGGAGCTCATTCTACTTTCTGTGCAACTTCTCTCTCATTCCTTAAAAGTTGCAAATCTCTATCCTACACACTCTTCTTTAATTCTCACTCTGCTGTTTCTAATATTCACCCCCCCACCATTGTCCAGGAGGGGCTGATTCCCTAAAAACTGTACATTTCCATCCCACACACTTCTCCCTCCATTTTGACTCTGCTATACCTAATATGCCCCTCTCCCCATTCTCCTAAAGGATCTGATTGATGCTCATTGACAGACCCACACTCACCTCTTCCTGGGCACAGGGATCTCAGCACCATCACAAACAAGCAGCTACCCTCACTCCCGCTACTGCGCATGTGCTGGTCGGGGCCGAGGCGCTGGTCACGTGGATTGGAGCCGCCAGCCGTCGCAAAGGCGGCGCTTTGATTGGACGGAGCGCCCCCAGCGTGCGCGCTGGCGGAATTCCAGCTATTCCCATTGGCCAACTGCACCGAACGTCACGGGGTCGAGGAAACACCGGCGCGGCGACGTTTTCCACGTCACCGCCTGAACGTTTGATCGGGGAGGGTTGACCAATGGAAATCCCTGGAGGACCGGAACGAGTCTGGTCCTCCTGCCAATCAGAGACCCCCATTGTTTAATGCGGAAGTTGCCCATTGCTGCTCAGCAAAGCTGCTGCTGCTCCTCTCTCTCTGAATGAAGATTGAGCTTCACCCCCAGACTGCAACTTCCTCCTCTGTCCAACATCCGTGAGCACAGCACTCTCTTTTCTCACCCACACCCTTTTCCATTTCTTTTCTCATTCTGGGGTTGAATTTGTTTATTTGCACTATCTTTCTCTCTGCTCTCTCCTCTCTCTCTCTCTTTTCTCTCTCAATGCTTTTCGAAGAATCCAAGACAGTTCTCGCAATGACTGAGGCTAGCTTTCAACGTCAGATTATTTTTTTTTTTTTAAAATTGAATTTAAATTCTGCAACTTTTAAAAATGGTGTTTGGACCCATGTCCCCAGACCATTTATAAAAACCGAAAGAACTGCGGATGCTGTAAATCAGGAACAAAAACAGAAGTTGCTGGAAAAACTCAGCGGGTCTGGCAGCATTTCTAAGGGAAGGTCACTGGACCCGAAACGTTAACTGATTTTTGTTTTCTTTACAGATGCTGCCAGATTTGCTGAGTTTTTCCAGCAACTTCTGTTTTTGTCCCCAGATCATTTGCCCAGGGCGTCTGCGTTACTAGTCAAGTGTTGTTATGACACTGCTGACTCCCCTGGCCAGTATTTAACTGAACAGTTAAGTAATATTGGACAGGAGTATGAGTTTATTTATGGTTGCGTAAATTTCGTTTATAATTATTTCTAGTTATGTTGTAGAGTACTGTAGCCACGTGATATATTTCCAATCATAGTCATTACAGAACAGGAGAAGACCACTTCAATCCATGCTGACTCTGTGGACCTATCTAATCAGACTCATTTCCCTCCTTATCCACCGAGTACTGTAAGTTTATTTCTCTAAAGGACCCATCCAATTTCATTTGGATATTGATCGTCTCCACTTCCATCCTTGGAGAGAGCAAGTTCGAGGTTGTTACCACTCGTTGCCTGAGTAAAGTTCTTCCTCTAATTCCCTCCCACTTCCACATCCTAGTCTGTCAATATGCATAGAGCAACGCAAATAATCAGGTTAGCAGTCTGCATGAGCATTTACTTTTAAGACCATAAAACATAGGAGCAGAAATTAGGCCATTCAGCCCGAGTCTGCTCCGCCATTCAATCATGGCTGATAAGTTTCTCAACCCCATTCTCCTGCTTTGTCCCCATAACCCTTGATCCCCTTGATAATCAAGAACCTGTCTATATCAGTACTCAATGACCTGGCCTCCACAGCCTTCTGTGGCAGTGAATTCCATAGATTCACCACTCTCTGGCTGAAGAAGTTTCTCCTTATCTCCGTTCTAAATACCAAACGTAGGTGTGTAAGCATGGATCTGCCAAATGAGTCAGGAATCAGAAGAACGGGGAGGGTGTGTATCAGCAGAGGGAGAGGGTGTGCGATGGAGGTTTACAGTTTTTGGGGAATGAGTGGTCCATGAAGTTTATATGTTAAACTCTGAAGTTCTATCTGGTACTGAGATTGATTACTTTATCATTTACAGGATTTTAAGGGGAAGATTTACACACAAATCTCAACGAGAGTTTTATCCTACCTGCAAGTTACAAAACTTGGGGAAACAAAAATCTTGCCATTCAGAGCAAGGTGGGACTGTGTGTCGAAGGGATTTCAACTAATCATTGAACCTGGAGAGACCTCGGGAAGCCCGCGCCATCGAGAAGCCATGGAAATGTGGGGAATGTGGGAAGGGATTTCGAGTCCCATCGGAACTTGAGATTCATCGGCGCAGTCACACTGGGGAGAGGCCGTTCTCCTGTTCTGTGTGTGGGAAGAGATTTATTGCATCCTCCAACCTGTTGATGCACCAGCGGGTTCACACTGGCGAAAGGCCATTCACCTGCTCCGAGTGTGGGAAAGGATTCAGTCGGTCTTCCAGCCTGTTGACACACCGGCAAGTACACACTGGGGAGAGGCTGTACACTTGCGCTGCGTGTGGGAAGAGATTCACTCAGTTATCCAACCTCTTGTCACACCAGCGGGTTCACACGGGGGAGAGGCCATTCACTTGCCCTGTGTGTCAGAAAGGTTTCACTCGGTCATCCAACCTATTAGCCCACCAGCGGCTTCACAATGGAGAGAGGCTGCTTACCTGCTCCGAGTCTGCCAAGGGCTTCGCTGGGTCATCCCAGCTGCAGGCGCGTCATCGAGTTCACGCTGGGAAGAGATCGTTTGCTTGCTCCGTGTGCGGGAAGGGATTCACCAGGTCATCCAAACTGCTGAGACACCAGCGGGTTCACACCGGGGAGAGGCCTTTCGCCTGCCCTAACTGTGGGAAGGGTTTCACCCAGTTATCCCACCTGCAGACGCACCAGCGCGTTCACACCGGGGAGAAGCCTTTCATCTGCTCCGAGTGCGGGAAGGGGTTCACCCAGTTATCCCACCTGCAGACGCACCAGCGAGTTCACACCAGGGAGAGGCCGTTCGCTTGTTCCGAGTGCGGGAAGGGCTTCAGTCGATTGTCGAACCTACGCACACACCAGCAGGTTCACAAATAATTGCACGGAGTGGAATTCTGCTATGAATCACATCCAGGACTGAACCGTGTTCATTCAGAGAGTGGGAGGGATGAAGGGTTACTTTCTGCTGGACCGGCCGCTCTCACCCACTTTTCTTCCACCGGGGTTGATGTTTTTTGAGCCTGGGACTGCACATTGACACTGAAATGATTCACAGAAGCTGAGGTAGTGCTTTAACGTAATCCCGGATGATAAATAGTGTTTGTCCTACCACTACACGTCGATCTCAGATAGATACGTTAGTCTCTGCTCTGCTGAGTCTCCAGCACATCACATAAAATCATGAGGGGTATAGATAAGGTGAATGGCAGGAGTCTTTTGCCTAGGGTGGGGGATTTCAAGACCAGGGGCATATTTTTAAGGTGGGAGGAGAATTATTTTAAAATAATACACGAGGGACAATTTTTTTTACTCATAGGGTGGTTCGTTTGTGAAATGAACTTCCAGACGAAGAGGTGAACGCGGGTACAGTTACTATATTTAAAAGACATTTAGATAAGTACGTGAGTAAGAAGTGCTTGGGGGGACATGGGCCAAGTGCACGCAGGTGGGATGAGTTTAGTTTGGGTTTAGGGTTGGCATGGATTGGTTGGACTGAAGGGTCTGTTTCCGTGCTGTATGACTCTCAGAACCAGGCCAGTCAGCACAATTGGTCTGTCTCAATATTTATGCTCTGTTTGAACCTCCACGTACCCCTCTTCATCTCCCTCATCAGCATGTCCTTCTATTCTTCTTTTCCCTCAGGCCTGTATCCAGCTTCCCCTTAAATGTATTCCTGCTGTTCGCCTCAACCACTTGCTATGGGAACAAGTTCCAATTCTGTACAAGTGGACGAAGATTCCCCTCGAGCTGTTTTTCTGTGAAGAGCTGGATCTCTGCCTAGCATTTAAAATAAAGACCAAACATGTTCACACCTGAAATTTTAAGGCAGTATCGTTTCTTAGGTTACTTAGCAATCAAGGTTCAAATAGAAATCATAAGACCATGAGACATAGAAGCAGAAATTAGGCCATTCAGCCCATCGAGTCAACTGTGCTGTTCAATCATGGCTGATAAGTTTCTTAATATCTTTCTCCGGCTTTCTCCCCATAACCCTTGACGATCAAGAACCGTCTTAAACATACTCAATGACCTGGCCTCCACTGCCTTCAGTGGCAATGAATTCCACAGATACGCCACTCTCTGGCTGAAAAGGTTTCTCCTTATCTCATTCTAAAAGGGTCTTCCCTTTACTCTAAGGCTGCGCCTCTGGTGTCCTAATCTCCCAATGTTTTCCCAACGTCCACTCTGTCCAGGCCATTCAGTATTCTGTAAGTTTCAGTTAGATCCCCCTGCTTCATTCATCTAAACTCAATTAAGTATAGATCCAGAGTCCTCAAACGATTCTCATATGTTAAGCCTTTCATTTCTCGGACCATTCCTGTGAACTTCCTCTGGACCAGCGACTAGGGCCAGTACAGGTATGGGGCCCAAAATTGCTCACAATACTCTAAATGTGGTCTGACCAGAGCTTCATAAAGCCTCAGAAGTACGTCCCTGCTTTTATATTCTAGTCCTCTCAAAATAAATGCCAACATTGTGTTTGCCTTCCTAACTACCGACTCAACCTGCAAGTTTACGTTAAGAGAATCCTGGGCTAGGATTCCCGAGTCCCTTCGCACTTCAGATTTCTGAATTTTCTCCCCATTTGGAAAATAGTCTATGCCTCTATTCTTCCTACCAAAGTGCATGACCTCAGACTTTTCCGCATTGTATTCCGTCAGTATTGCAGTGTCAGTATTACTAGAGCTCTAATGCATGTTTTTACATTTGACTTGTATTTTTATATTGTGTGTGTGTGTTTTACAGAGGTGGAAGTGTGGCTTTATATTAAATTTTCAGGCTGTGAAATGTTTGTTTGCATGGATTTTAATGAGGTGCTTCATCTTTTGAGGTGACAAGTTCAGCGTATTCGGAGGGAGAACGGGCAAAGGACCAATCTGCTGTTGCCTGCTGATGGGAATCACAGGGGCAGAACAGTAGCTCAGTGGTTAGCACTGCTGCCTCGCAGCGCCAGGGACCCTGGTTCGATTCCACCCTCAGGCGACTGTGTGTGTGGAGTTTGCACATCCTCCCCGTGACTGCTTGGGTTTGCTCTGGGTGCTCCGGTTTCCTCCCACAGTGCGAAGGTGTGCAGGTTGGGGTGGATAGGCCATGCTAAATTGTCGCGTAGTGTCCAACGATGTGCAGGCTTAGGTGGGTTAGTCACGGAAAATGCACGGTTACAGAGATAGGTCTGGGTGGGATGCTCTTTGGAGGGTCAGTGTGGACTCGATGGGCTGAATGGCCTGTTTCCACGCTGCAGTGATTCTATGACGATGAAAGATCGAAACATTCAGAAGTAGTCAGGCAATATGCAGGTTTCCATCGTGGAGAAAATGTAGGGCCACGACATTAACATCAGCTGTAGTGCTGTTAATGTAGTGGTCCTGGGCTGAAACGAAGCCCTGAATGGCTTTAAAGTGAGCACAATAGAAATTCCGGAAGCAAAATGCTGTCGAAAAGATAACTTTAAACAAAATATGTTCTAATGGTCAGGAGTGTTGCTGAACAAAGAGACCTTGGAGTGCAGGTTCTTTGTCCCTTGAAAGTGGAGTCCCAGATAGACAGGATAGTGAAGAAGGTGTTTGGTTCGCTTGCCTTTATTGGTCAGTGCGTTGTGTATAGGAGTTGGGAGGGTCATGTTGGGGCTGTACAGGACATTGGTTAGGGCCACTTTTGGAATACTGTGTTCAATTCTGGTCTCCCTGCTATAGGGAGGATGTTATGAAACTTGAAAGGGTTCACAAAAGATTTACAAGGTTGTTGTCAGGTTGGAGGGTTTGAGTTATAGGAAGAGCCTGAATAGGCTGGGGATATTCTCTCTTGAGCGTCAGAGGCTGAGAGGTGACCTTATAGGGGTTTATAAAATCATGAAGGGCATAGATAAGGTGAACAGCTAAGGGCTTTTTCCTACGGTGGGGGAGTCCAAAACTAGAGGGGTATAGGTTTACGGTGAGAGGGAAAAGATTTTAAAAACGGACCTGAGGGATAGCTTTTTCACGCAGAGGGTGGTGCGTGTATGGAATGAGCTGCCAGAGGAAGTGGGTGGGGGCTGGTACAATTACAACATTTAAAAGGCATCTGGATGGGTACATGAACAGGAAGGGTTTAGAGGGATATGGGCCAAATGCTGGCAAATGGGAATAGATTAATTTAGGATAGCTGGTCGGCATGGACAGGTTGGGGAGAAGGGTCTGTTTCTATGCTGTATAACTATATTACTCTATGACTCTAAGTCGTCGTCAGTGAGCTAAGCTATCAGCTTATTTAAGGCTGTCATGATCGTTGTGGTCAACTGCAACATCCACAAGCCGAGCTACAAATCTACTCCAAAACTTTAGAGGTGTCATGACCAGTTGCATAGGGGGAGGGAAACAGGTGGAATCTGCCATCCTTACACGGTCTGGCCCACATGTGACTCCAGACCCACAGGAATGTGGTTGACTCTTAAGTGCTCTCTGTGTAATTTAAGTTTGGCAATAAGTACGGGCCTAGCCATTGACACTAATAGAAAGGAACTGCCAGAAAGCAGCAACAAGTGAATGCAGAACTTTGCTGTAAAGGAACCAGTTACAGTCATGCCAGCCGCATGTGGAGCATGGATGTGGGGACACGGTGACCCTCCACTGTTGGTTGAGGGTCTAGAAGGCTGTTGAGGATAAATGGGGTGAAATATTCTTTCTGATATTTGCAATAAGACCATTTCAAGTAATTATCTAGTGTAATATAGTTTGTATTTCTTTTTCCTTTTGGGTAATACACTTCTGTTTTTTTTTTGTTAAAAGGACATTAGCAGCTTCTAGCGAAGATGCTCAGTGACTGATCACCATAGAAAACTCCTAAGCCATCATTTTTTAAACCAGGTTTGCTCTAGGATCAGCCATATACTGTATTACAGCAAGGGGAGGTGATGGCCCAATGGTATTATCGCTGGACTGTTAATCCAGAGACCCAGATAATGTTCTGGGGACCCGGGTTCAAATCCCGCCTTGGCAGATGGTGGAATTTGAACTCAATAACTCAATAAAATATCTGGAATTAAGGATCTAATGATGACCATGAATCCATTGCTGATTGTTGGAAAAACCCATCTGGTTCACTAATGTCCTTCAGGGAAGGAAACGGCCATCCTTACCTGGGCTGGCCTACATGTGACTCCAGACCCACAGTAATGTAGTTGAAACTGAACTGCCCTCTGGGCGATTAGGGATGGGCAATAAATGCTGCCTAGCCAGCGATGCCCACATCCCGTTAATGAATAAAGGAAAAAAAAATGGCAGCTGACATTGAAGTTTTGTTGAATGCCCCTATAGGGCTGACTTCAAGAAGAACGTTAGCATTTGTTCCAAAACAAGAAGACGGTCATCGGATTCAAAAAGTTAACGCCTTTTCTCCCCCCATCTATTAAATTTCTCCAGCACTTTGTTTTTGTCTCCGATTTGAAGCATCTGCAATTCTTCGCTTTCATACTAATGTCTGTTAAACTGTCCTCCCGCAGAATCTGGAGGATGCAGCAGGGGCATTATAAGTGAAATTTCAGTTGCACTCTTTTGTGTTGCTAATGCTGCTAATACAAGAGCATGGTGACAGCAACTGCTCAGTACAATGGGACTTCTGTTGAAGTCTTTGTTGTCCAGTCTCACTGACATGGTAGTAGAGTGTTGATTTCCTTGTGACCTCCTATTGAGAGAGGTGCCTGCTAAGTAGGGAAGTACTCAACATAGAAGCCCTACAGCGTAGATGCAGGCCACTTGGCCCATTGAGTTTGCACTGACCTTCCAGAATGCATCCCACCCAGACTCATAACCCTGCATTTTCTATGGCTAATCCACCTAGCCTGCATATCCCTGGAACACTCTGGGCAATTTAACATGGCCAATCTGTCTGTCCTGCACATCTTTGTGGGAGGAAGCCAGAGCACCAGTGGAAACCCACGCAGACACAGGGAGAATGTGCAAACTCCACACAGACGGTCACCTGAGGGTGGAATCGAACGTGAGTCCCTGGTGCTGTGAGGCAGCAGTGCTAACCAGTGAGCCACCATGCCGTGCTAGCATATTTCAGATATCTCCTCCAACATCAACTGAAGGTGAAGTATTTCACTGATCAGGTCTGGATTGAGGCAAGATTTTTTTCTGCTAACGTTCAGGCCAGACCAAATCTCTTGTATGCAGTATTGAACAGATCAGGAGTGACTTGTAAATCTGGTGCAGAATAAGCTTCCACAGCATAGTTATCTGCATATTGTAGGTCATGTATGTCTATGGAACTCAGTTTAGAGTTGGGTTGTAAGCAATATATAATATTCACACCAGAGGACAACAGCAGCACTGGAGGTTGAAGGGTGACCTTATAGAGGATTATAAAATCATGAGGGGTGCAGATAAGGTGAATGGCAGGTGTCTTTTCCCTAGGGTGGGAGATTTCAAGACTAGGGGGCATATTTTTAAGGTGAGAGGAGAAAGATTTATAAAGGATCTGAGAGGCAACTTATTCACACAGAAGGTGGTTTGTATGTAGGATGACCTGCCAGAGGAAGTGGTGGATGCAGGTACAGTTACGACATTCAAAGACATTTGGATAGGGACATGAATAGGAAAGGTTTAGATGGATATGGGCCAAATGCAGGCAAGTGGGACTACTTGAGTTTGGGAAACTTGGTCAGCGTGAATGAGTTAGACTGAAGGTTCTTTTTCCTAGCCCAGCCTAGAATATAGAACAACACAGCACAGGAACGGGCCCTTCTGCGCACAATGTTGTGCCGGACATGACACCAAATTAAACTAATCCCTTCTGCTTGCCCTTGGTCTGTATCTCTTCATTCCTTGCATATTCGTGTGCAAGTCCCTTAAACACCCTTATCATATCTTCCTCTGGCAGCACGTTCCAGACTCCTACCACTAATAAAACCTGCCCCTCACATCTCCTTTGAATCTGGGTGTCAAGGACACCATGTTATCTGTGCTCGCTATGGGGAGTGCTAACCCTCTATTCTGGGTGTGGAGTGAGGCAAACCTATTGTTTAAGAGTTTGACATGACTTGGGAGGGACATATGATTCAGTGACGCGTTTCACAATTGGTCCATTCAAATGATAGCTCAGCAGTGATTGGATTAAATCAGTCTCTGTACAATTTGTGATGTAAAACAGTGTAAGAAGGGATTCCCCGAGCTCAGAGATTTGTTGAGGGTTTTACAGATGGCCAAGGCCTCTGGGACAGACCAGGGAACATGGAGATTGTGCTCCTACCCAGAGTGTAATGGTCGTCCTGCTGTGCTTTGATCCACGTGCTCAGACATTAACACGTGTCGGGTCTTATTTGTACTGAATCAAATAACACTGCTGTCTCCAATATGGACCATCACTTCCAATCAGTTCAGCGTTTGGTAAAAGGGGATAAGGAGTTATTTGACTCCCTTTTCCCATTTTCTAATATTGCTGTGTCAAAAACACATCAAATCTCCTCTCTCCCTCTGGCTCCATTGTCAATGACTGACAGAGATTCAGTTTCTGATAAAGAGTTGCCAACCCCTCTCACCCACTTAAATGACATATTGCATTTAGTATAGGAGTTGGGAGGTCATGTTGCGGCTGTACAGGGCATTGGTTAGGGCCACTTTTGGAATACTGTATTCAATTCTGGCTTCCCTTCTGTAGGAAAGATGACGTGAAACTTGAAAGAGCTCAGAAAAGATTTACAAGGATCTTGCCAGAGTTGGAGGGTTTGAACTATAGGGAGAGGCTGAATAGTCTGGGGCTATTTTCCCTGGAGTGTCAGAGACTGAGGCGTGACCTTATAAAATCATGAGG